ACATTTTCTTCTCAGTAGGGCCTTTTAATATATTTAGTGTATGTACTATAACCTTTTTCACAAATATAACAGTTTGGTTTATTGAGGGAAAAATACATTCATCAGGTTTCTTTATTTTATTTCTCTGATTTAAAATTGTTATATTTGTGGGAAATGTTATAGTACATAAGCTAAATATATTACAAGCCCTACTGGGGAGAAAATATTTTTTATAAACTCTAAATTTAGTTGTAATTCACATAATGTTATCTATGTATGATCTTGTATTTGTTTTAAGCAAATATATGTTGGAGAAACAGAAGATTTATATTTGAAAATAAATTTACACAAATCTCATGTCAGAAATGCAAATAATAGTCCATTACTTGTTAACAAACACATTAATGAGAATATTATGGAAAAATATCATACTTTAGAAGAACCCTTTTTCCAAATATTTCAATTTTCTTATTCTTGTGAAAAGATAATTTTATGAAAAATATTTTATTAATAAATTTAAAAGCACATTAAATGTTACATAGTTTAACATACCGAGGGAGTTTAAAACATATATAAAACTTTAAGGTAAAAAATGCAGGAAGTTTTACATTGTGAAGTAGGTTGAGGATCTCTTGTTCAATTCCCATTGCCACTGAATTTGCTTGCTTGCCCTGTCTTTGTTGTTGCGAAGCTATTAATGCTATCTCCCACTGCCACTAATTTTGAACTGTTGACAAGAGGGAAGGCAATTGGCTGGCAGCACCCACTGCTAACTAACTCTCTAAGTAGTATTAAATGAAGTGCAAATTTACTGGTTTTTTTTTTTACATTTATCATGTTTCTGTTTTATAATTGTGTAACAATATTCTTTAATGTTGTCTAGGATTTCACAATTGTATCATTGATCTTGTATATACAGGCATGGGTCTAGGGGGGGGGGGGGGGTCAAGGAGTCTAAATGCCCCTTTCCCTTTATTTCAGAAACTGATAAAAGAATAGCTAGAGTATGAAAAATACGCAAGATGTCAGTGTTTTTAACTTGATTGACTATTAATTACAAATAAAAGCCTTTTTTTTTAGGTTTTCTGAAATCAACACAGCTGGAGTCTTGAGCAATCCAGTTAAGGCCTAAGCCAATAACTCACTATTTTGAAGCTAATACAACAACATGAATCTCAATTAAATGTTGCAGTGGTATGTTTTGTGTTGTGGCATTTTCCGAACACACTAACTATGTGTCTAGACTTTAGAGATTTGGTTTCATCAAAATTAATATTGATTAGGACACCTGCAGTTGGAATGTTTGAGAGAAATATGTTTTTAATATTGTTGATGTCTAAGTGAAAATGCAAGTAGTATGACTCTAAAAGTATAAGTAATGACTTTTGGGGGCATATATTACTCAATTAGCAAATATTACTAATTGCACAGCTCTAGTATTGTTATTTTGAATAACATTTTATAGTTTTAAGTTCATATGTTTAGGGTGTCAGCTGTTCTTTGTAAAGTGCATTTAATTTGGAGTTCTGGTATTAATGAGGTAAATGAAATCTCTAAGGAATTCTTCTGCATATTAAACAGGTACATGATCCAGAAGAAAAGATTACATTGAAAGCCATACAACTTGCCCAGTGGATCCAAGAGTCTGAACATGTGGTAGTGCACACTGGAGCTGGAATTAGCACATCGGCAGGAATCCCAGACTTCAGGTGCATGAATTGTAAATTTGAGTGTGAATTATTTGTTTTAGCATTTAATGTAAGAAACCTACTGTAGATTTGTATATTGTACACTGTATATCATTCAACTGTTGCAAACCAGTAAGATCCAGTTTATTAGCTTTATTAAAATATGAAGTTATATAAACTATGAATATGATGTTTCTTGCAGTATTATCAACAAATCATTTTTACTTTGTACAGAGGACCAAAGGGTGTCTGGACTTTAGAACAGAAAGGAGAGAAACCTCAGATCAACATTTCCTTCAGTTCTGCCATTCCAACAAAAACACACATGGCTTTAGTTGAATTTATGAAGTTAGGATTAATTCATTTTGTTGTGAGCCAAAATGTAGATGGCTTACATTTGCGCTCAGGTCTTCCTCAAGACAAATTCTGTGAACTTCATGGTAACATGTTTCTTGATAAATGTAAACAGTGTCAAAGGTGAGTAACTGATGTACGTGTCTAAGCCTTATATCTTTAATGTATTTGCTGAATGTTGTGTTTTTTATACTTATTTGAAGGTTCCTGTTTTTCTTTGTTTTCCACTGGGTAATAATCATATAATTTATGTACTTATTACTTATCAAGTTAAGCACTTGGTAGACATAAAATTGTAACGGGTGTTTTTATGGGGAAGTTGTTTGGATTCAACTAACACAAGTTACAAATAGAATTTATTTAATTCCAGGTTATGCAGTCATGGGTCAGCTCACAGGCTGCCAACTCAAGGCAATTTATGTTTGGAATAAAGAATTCACTCAGAGACTAATTGACAAGACACAAGATCAGTTTAATACAATATATTTAAATAATCATGTACATCAAATTTTCTCAAACTATTTTGGAAAAACATCAAAATCACTAAATTCCTTGTTTTGGACTGTAATTTACTCATTAACCTTTTCGCCTCGAGTAGGTTAAAGTGCATGTGTCACAACATTTTGGAGCATTATTTTGAAAATTTTAATAAATAACATTTTTACTACTTACATCAATGAAATTGGCATCAAAATGTACTTTATAATTTTAAGTTTAATATTATATTTCTTAATTTAAAATAAAATGTAAAGAAAAAAATGTTAAATATCGATTTTTGTGTATCACATAACATGTCGATTGGTTTATTGTTCAGTTTCCGTTTTATTATGCCCACCATTCAACATGTACAAGTAGCCAATGAATCGGAAACTCAAATCTGAGATATAGACAAGCTAAATATAAAATAAGAACCTCCTTCCTCTATGATTTGCTGACATAGTAATATTTTTAGTGAATCTACTAGTGGCTTCTCCCACTGCACCAATCTTTTGAAAGCTCTTGTCTAGTTCCTCTTACTACTAATTAGCTCCTGTTTATAACTAATAGAAAGAACATTTTCACCTCTACGTAACTCTGACAGTTGTTTATAAATAGCTTTAAGGAGAAAATTATAATTTTGCCAAACTGTTGAAGTGTGATGTACAAGTCATTACTCTGAATAGGAATGGGAATTTTTTAAACCCAACTAAATTACAGGGATTTTGAGTGTACTAATATAGTAAGTTGATAACTTTTTGGTCTTCAAAAATTAGTATCTCTACACCCTCCACCCAGAAGAATAAACGAGGCTTACGGTGAGGCTCAGCACATTCAATGCATGAGTGCAACATTTCGTAACATGGTTATGTACTCTTTTCTTTTTCAGTGTATTTCTCATTTACTTTCTATGTTTTAAAAAATATGACTACAAATTAAGCATTTATGAGTAAATAGTAATATGTAATATGTAGTTATATACATATTTAACGTACGGCAGCCGAAATATCACTGTATTTTTCAGTACATTTGTAGTATAGTTACATTTGTATTTTTTAGGCCAATACATAGTTATGCTTACTGAATTTGGTTTATTCTAATTGTCTAAACTGAGGAAAGTTAAAACCCAATTATACAACATAAGAAACTTGACAGTTTTATACAAGTTTATTCATAACATTTAGAAAGGTAAAATAATTTACAAATATCGGGAAATAATATTATGCACAAATGTTTATACATGACTAAAAGGAATAATGAATTTACAAAATAAAAACTGCTTGAATCAGAAACACATACTTAAAGTTGTGAACAGAATAAAACAGTTTATATATGCCTAAAAGGAATAATGTACATACAAATTGCATGAATCAAAAACAAACACATGAAGTTGTGCAAAGAAAAAGCTGTGTGAATGAATGGAAATTTATAGATATGTATTTTATTACAAACATTTAAGAAAACTGCAAAAGCCATACTTAGAATAGCATATACTGTATAACATTATACACTGATTTTGACACATGATAGGGAGCATCGCTATTGTACATATAAGTGTATGAATATTAAAATAAAAAACGTTACAAAAATATTTAAGTCAAAAAACAATAAAAAAATGCAACTAAGATTTGTTTATTTTTTTCAGAAAACAAAAACTGTTTACAAAGGAAAAGAGCAGACTTTTACGTTGTACATAGTCTTAACTTCTTTTAAGAGTAACACTAGTGTAATACTCTTCAAAGTGTTTTATACACAGCAATTCATCACACATTTTACATTTTATAAGAAATTTTATTTTCAGGAAAGCGTAGTCTGCATCTTTTTCTGTTACCTGTGTCAGCAAGTGTAGGGAAGTGCCTGCCAAGAGTTAGTCTCAGAGGTGATGAGTTCTGTACAGTTCTAGAGAGTGGTCTATCAGAAGGACCTGGTCTGTGTTGAAGTAGAGGCACAACAAGAGCTGTGACCAGGTCCATTCTGAAGGCTTTCTGGGATAATGCCAGCTGGTTGGTCTGTTGTTTGTACAAAATGTAAGCATTTACAACTGTCAAGTCCAAAAGTTGAAAAAAACCTTTAATATACCATTTTATTGTCCTTCATGCAGTAGAATAATAACTTAAGTGCTGGTCATTTAGGTCCACTTCTCTCATAAACTTATTGTACTCCACAATTAACTGAGGTTTTGTAACCTCAGCATCCCTCCCTCTTCTTGTCACAGTTTAGAGTGTAAAGTTGGAAGTGCGTAAATGTCTCATTTGTCAGTCCACTTCACAGCCGTCAGAGTTCCATGTTTAAAAAATGTGCTTCCCCTCTCTGTAGGTTTGGAGAAACCAGTTGCTGTGGGAAATACAGTCTGTCTTTCCTGCATATCCCACAAGCATTGGTTCCCATAGTCAGTAGTTTGTCAAATAAATGAGGAGAAGTGTAAAAGTTGTCCATGAAGACCTAGTGCCCTAATCTGTTGTATTTGTCCATCAGTTCCATCACAACACTGTCTGCTAAACCTTTGGCTGGCATGTGTTCTTCTTTGCCTGTGTAGATTTTTAATTTTAGACAGTATCCATTCAGCTTCTGCCAGGACTCACAACTTGAAACCCCAATTGACAGTTTTTTTGGCAAATATTGGAGAAAACCAATTCGACATTTTGTGCCAAACATCTGTTCATCTATGGTTAGTTCCTTGTTAGGAGAGTATGTAAAGCAAAAGATTTTAGTAGATGGTCTATGACAGGTCTAACCTTAAAATGTTTGTCATAATTAGGGTCAGTTCTAAGAAGAGCATTAGTGTTGTTATTGAAGTGTTAGTATGGATAGCTAAAAACCTGTCCCTAGAGAAGATATTAGTAGACCAATAGTCAGAAAAAGGAGGACAGGGCTTGATTCTCATAGCTATTGTTACTCAAAAATAAGCTAAAATATCTTCATGGGTAACATCTGTCCATTTTATGGTTTTCTTCTCTGGGGGTTCACCTTCCTGCTGTGGCTGTTTAGATCGTGCATATGGATTTTTTTCACTTACAATAAAATTTAAAATGTAAAGAAAAGTTTAAACAAATCAACCGCTGTATTAGTAGAAGTTACCCATGGGGACACAGGTTCACCTCAATTGAACTGAAGTACATGGCAAGTTATTCTTCGGTGATCCAAGTGTCACTGCAGGTGAGAGGCATCTTCTGCTGGGAAGGAGTAGTCCTAGTAGATACTGTAGCTCTACCCCTACCCTTTTTTGTCCTTCATCTTCTCTGTGGTGTTGCTTTGATGTACCTGGCTTTGGTGATTCCACAACATCCTCATCTGGTGAAGATCTTTCACCAACTACTTCCTGATCTGTCTATAAGACAGGATCAAGAAGAGCTGGCTCTAGATTTTGTTGCCATCTTTTTCTATAGAGAGATTATGTCAGAAGCATTGACACATCAGCAGAAACTTAATCCACTCTAATTCTTCTGAAAGAAAGCCTTCTTCATCAGACAAGGAGACATTTAGAAGAAACTGCATCTCTTCTTCACTGAGTTTTTTTTTTCCTCAGCTCTCTTTCATTTTACTTTTAATGTATATTACATGTATCCTCTGTTGTGTATCATCATATATATATATATATATATATATATATATTGTGTATCTCTTTTTGTGTGTGTGTGTGTGTATATTAGT